CCATCTTTTTTTAGTAAAAAAGTGCTTCCGGTGAGCTTTTCCGGGTAGAAAGCTCACCGGAAGCGCTTTTTCGTCAAAAAAGATGGCGGCGCCCAGTTGACGCCGGTACCAGGCCGCGGCGCCCAGCTGATGCCGGAACCGGGCCGCGGCGTCGAAAAGGTTGGGGATCCCTGATCTAGTCCAACCCCCTGCTCTCACAGGAGACCCTATACCATTTCAGACAAATGGCTTCTCCAGTCTCTTCTTAAAAGCCTCTGGTGATGGGGGCAAGCACAACTTCCAAAGGCAATTTGTTCCACTGCTTAATTGTTCTCACTGTCAAAAAATTTTTTCCTTAGTTCCAGGTTGCTTTTCTCCTTGATTAGTTTCCACCCATTGCTTCTTGTCCTGCCTTCGGGTGCTTTGGAGAATAGCTTGACTCCCTCTTCTTTAGGGGCAGCCCCTGAGATATTGGAAGTGTCAGGATTCCGGCAGTTACCCCCATTTAAATCATGAGTATCGAGCCAAACTTCCAAACCTTAAAAAGGATTTATTGGGAGTTAACATGTCCTGCACTGCCTGCACTGGGTGTAGCCGACTGAGACACATCATTCATTGTCACCCATGACCCTGGTTTTCCCTCACCACCCCCTGGGTGTATCGTAATTCATATTCTCCAATGGGACACATCCATAGCCAAGAGGCATCAATCATGCTCTCCAGTTAGAATTTTGCCTGGCAGAAACTTCGGTCGCCTAGTTACTATCTTTGAAAACATTTGTGGAATGCACTTTTGGTTTCGCAAGCTGCTGCACTGCTCGCCCCTCCCTTTTTGCTGGCAACTCTAAAAAGACCATAGAAATATTGACAAAGAAGATTGCTATCATGTCACCCCTAGTCCTTCTTTTCACATAAGCCTTTGGTTGGTTCTTTGTGGGTCCTTTGAGTGGGGAAGATAGGATTTGGGACACACAGGAACATTTTGGGCAGAGCCAAGTAGCTGGCAGTCCCTGGGAACTCAAAATACAGGCTTTTCATTCTTGTATATATAACAGTGAATGGCTGTCTTGTTGTTCACATCTCTTTCCCCCCACCCAATTACAATAATACTTTATTTATAGGAGACCCTTGTCTTTCTCCACCTATGCCTTCCCCGAACGGACGAAGGAGCTGAGGCCTGGGGCAAACTTTTTAATACCTTTCTGTTTGCTTCTGCTTATAGCCCAAGCTGACTCCGCAGGAGAAACTCAAGCTCCGAATGCAGAGGGCGCTTAACCGGCAATGTAAGCACCTTCGGGGTGGGCGCAGGGCAGCGGCTGGGACCGATCTGGCCCAGGGGACCCCTCTCCCTTTCCCTCTTTTCTCCTCCCCCCACCCTACCCCCCAAAAAACTCACTATTCTGCTCTGCCTCTTCAGTTAAAGCAGACAAGAAAGCAGCCCAGGAGAAGATGATGCAACAGGAACACGAAAGACAGGTAAGCAGGAAGCCGACCGATTGGCCCTGGGCAGCAGCTGAGTTAGGTCCATTGTAAATGCTCAGTAAGAGGCCACGAGTCGAGGGCTGCCTGTAGAAAGCACCGCTGTTGGTTGCTATGTGTCGACGTTCCAACTAACCCAACTCCAAACCAATAAACCCCGAGACAAGCAGTTCCTCAAAGTCCCAATTTATTAGAGTTTGTTGTCAATGTTCCAGAAAACCTCCATTCCAACCAATAACTCCCGAGACAGGCATCTTCTCAAAAGTTCTGTTTATTTGGATAAACTGGCACAACTGGGGAATCCCGAATCTGAAAGTTCCGGGCTTCCTTGCAATAAGTAAAAACTACAAATCCACCCCCTGCACCCATTACATGTCCCAATCCCCATCCGTCCCAACTTGAGACTTCACTTCACCCAGGTGCAGAGATAACATGACCTTGACTTAGAAGAAGAATGCTGTTATGTCTAACCACATACACTCCAAGAAATGCCCCCCTCCCATTTTCCCAGCCTCAAGAATGGCAGTGTGGAAGCATCTGGTCTCATGGCTTCCAAAACTGACAGTTGTCATATTGGCACATCTGGGAAAACCCGAATCTGAGAGTATCCGGGTTATCCCTTCCCAAAAGAAAAATCAAAGATCCATCCCCTGCCCCCACCAGTCCATCACACGGCCCAATCAAATAGCTATCCCAACTGGAGACCTTCCTCCAGACGCTCCTCCAGGTGCAGGGCAACATGTCCTTGACTTTTGAGAAAGAATGTTGTTGAGTCTAATCTTTCAGCTCTCTATGAAATCCCCCCCTCCCAAATTCCCAGGCACTAAATGTGTCAGCCTCGAAGCTTCCAAGTAAAATATGGCTTCCAAGGCTGATACTATGAAGATGCCCCAGGTAGATTTCATCCTTGGGCTGACTGGACTTCCTTCTCCTCCCTTCCAGGAACGAGAGGATGAGTTGCGTGCCATGGCTCGGAAGATCCGGATGAAGTAATCCCTTGGATTTTCTCGTCCTTTGGGGTGGGGGTGGCGGGGCGCCTCATCCCTGCTGATATCCCCTTTTTTTTCCTTCTCTGCAGGGAGCGGGAACGGCGGGAGAAGGAGCGGGAAGAGTGGGAGCGACAGTACAGCCGCCACAGCCGCTCGCCTTCTCCGCGCTACAGTAAGTGCTACCTGAAGGACAAAATGTTTGAAATGGTGTGGTGCCAGACTCAAGTGGCACGCCCCAGCCGAGGGGTACATTCTGCGAGAGCGTCGGGAGTACGAGGAGGCTGGAGCCAAGCCTGGTGGCGTATATAAATGCGGGAGAGCGCACTGCCCCAAGGGTGCCATGAGTTTTCACAAGTAATCTTTGACTTGCTTAGGGCAGGGATATCCAACCTTGGCAACTTTGAGACTTGTGGACTTCAACTCCCAGAATTCCCGAGCTAACATGACTGGAGGAGGAATTCTGGGAGTGGAAGTCCACAAGTCTCAAAGCTGTCAAGTTTGAAGACCCCTGATCTACAGTATCTATCTTCTATCTCCATGTCTGTCTGTCTGTCTGTCTGTCTGTCTATCTATCTATCTATCTATCTATCTATCTATCTATCTATCTTCCAACTATATTTCTATGTATCTATCATCTATCTATCTTCTACCTTTCTATCACATCTATCTATCTATCTATCATCTCTATCTATCTATCTATCTATCTATCTATCTATCTATCTATCTATCTATCTATCTAATCCAAGGGTCTTCAACCTTGGCAACTTTAAGACTTGTGGACTTCCAACCCCAGAATTCCTGAGCTAACATGACTGGAGGAGGAATTCTGGGAGTGGAAGTCCACAAGTCTTAAAGCTGTCAAGGTTGAAGACCCCTGAACAGTATTTATCTCTCTCTCTCTCCCTCCCTCCCTCCCTCTCTCTCTCTCTCTTTCTCTCTCAAGGGCCTTCAAACTTGGCAAGAGGGAACTAAAACTTATCGTCTCCCTGGTGATAGGCCCAAAGTCTGCCAAGCTGACGTTTATATTATTTCTTTCTATTTGTTTTTCAGGTCGAGAACACAGCAGCTCCAGAAGGTAAGGCCACTTTTTATCTACTTAAGGGGCAAACATGGGGCAGAATGAAGGAATATAGACGCCATGTTGAAACTGGCAACTTTGGAAATGAATGTTTATTGGAGGAGGAGGAGGAATTGATGTTAGGTCCCCGAGGCTTTGTTTTGAATGCAAGGACGCTGCTGAATCAAGGCACATTTATTTTTTAAACTTATTTCTATGCTTCTACGATCCAAAAGGGATTTAATATTTTACTTAGGGGGGAAAAGTGCAAATTAAAACCCCATCTGGTCCATTGATGCATCCAAGAGGCACTCCAAAGCTTGAATGCCTGTAAAAGACAGAAGGCCAGTTTTTTTTTTTTTCCCCTTTGCATTTGCTCTTATTTCAGGGGTGGGGGAACTATGGCCCCTTTTAGGATCTGCAGACATCAATTCCCAGAATTCCTCGCTTGGGAATTCTGGGAATTGAAGTCCACACTCCTAAAGGGGACATAGTCCCCCATTCCTGCTCTACTTGAAAGGCACCAGATTTGGGGGTAGGGAGCCCACTTGAGTCTGAAATACAATTCTCCCCCAAAGCCATCAGGGGGTGAATCTGTTTCCCCAAAAATACGACCTACCCTGAAAGTAAGTCCTAGCTTGATTTTTTTTTTACACGTGAGCCCAATATAAGCCCTACCCCCAAAATAAGCCCTAATTAAGATCCTGCCCACTCCAGAGTGGACAGGTAAAAATTAAGCTAGGGTGGGGATGGAGGGGGGGGGGTAGAGCCGCCCTGCTACTTACCTTTGGACAGGTGTAGCCAGGCCTCGCACACCCCGACACCTGCCTTGCCGGCCCATTTTTTTCTACAGCTGGCAAAGCCAGCAAGGCTTTCCTGAAGGCCTCTGTAGCTGATAAGGAAGCTCCGGATCGATCCAGAGCTCCATTATCGGCCACAGAGGCCTTCAGGAAAGCCTTGCCGGATGCAGAACAAGAAATTCCTGAAGGTCTCTGATAGTGAAAAGGAGGCCCGCGGGCTGGCGGGGGGGAATGCATGCAAGTGAGGTTAGTCAGTGGATGACATTCCCCCAAAATAAGACCTGGTGCCTTTTTTGGTGGCCAAAAATATATAAAAAAACGGGGTCTTGTTTTCGGGGAAACACTGTATGTTTGTGTCTGAATAATGAAAAGGGAACGTGCCACTGAGCCAGGAGTCCTGTTGCTGTTCCCGCCATGTCTTCCACTTCCCTTCATGTCTTTGTTCTTCGGTGTTTTGTTTCTCGCAGGCACTCGCGGTCACGATCCCGGAGCCCTCACTACCGCCACTAGGACGAATTCCTGGCGCAAGGCCAATGCTGCTGACTTCTCGCCCTGCTGGCTCTCCCCCCCTTCCCC